TGTTGTATAGCTTTATGTATTGTTGTATAGTCTTGTATAACGTTGTATATAGCGTTGTATAGTGTCGTATAGCCTTATATAGTGCTGTATAGTTTTGTGTAACGTTGTGTAGTGTTGTATAGTGTCGTATAGCCTTATATAGTGTTGTATTTTGTCCTGTAGTGTTGTATAATCTTGTATAATGTCGTATAGTCTTGTATAATTAACATTGTGTAGTATAGTATAGCCTTATATAGTGTCGTGTAGTGTTGCATAACGTTGTGTAGTGTTGTATAGTCTTCTTTAGTGTAGTATAGTGTCATATTTTTATAGTTTTGTATAACGTTGTATAGTGTCGTGTAGTGTCGTCTAACCTAGCATGGTTTGTATAACGTTGTATAACGTTGTATAGTGCTGTATAGTGCTGTATAGTGTCGTATAGCCTTTATATATTGTTATATAGTCTTGTATAACGTCATATAGTGTTTTATAGTCTCGTATAGCCTTGTATATTATTGTGTAGTGTCGTATAGTGTTGTATACTCTTGTATAGTGTCGTATAGTCTTGTATATATAACGCTGTATAGTGTCGTATAGCCTTATATAGTGTTGTATGTAATATATGAACAACGAGAGCGAGTGTTTCACCGGGATATCCTAACACGAGAAAACAATGTATGAGAACACGAGCGCGAAGCGCGAGTGTTTTCATACATTGTTTTCGAGTGTTCGGATATCCCGGTGAGACACGAGCTCGAGTTGTTTATATGGCTTCTTAAATGAATCGAGACGTAACAGAATGTTTTCGTTTGCTGATTTGAATAGAATTCTTAACCAAGCATAACGTAATTAGGAATTCTATTCAAGTAATTTTGCATGCGTAATTAAGATATTTGATGAAAACACTAGTGACTTTCATCAAGTTTCACCGGGTTATCCAAATGACATTTTGTGATCAAATAGATGATTATCATTGGCTAAATTGCTGATGAATTATTAATAAATTTGAGAAGGTTAGATCCTAACGAAACAACACGAGGTTTCAACGCATAAACCCTGATTGTCATTAGCGAGAATAATATGTCCATCGTGTGCTTACAGATCAAAACCAGAATAAGAATGCGTAGTTTTCTCATGAACACGAAACAATTCGCCATGCAAAGACACAAGGGAGAAGTTAGGACGTATCGATCCATCATAAATTTAGCTTACCAGGGATTTGAAGGTCACGTGGGACAGTTGAGCCAATCGCCAAGAGGATGGCGTCATATGATGCGAGTAGCTGCTGACCAGAAATATCCTTTCCCACTTCAGTATTTGGCACAAAGTTTATTCCTTCTTCAGCCAAGAGATTGACACGCCTTTCAACAATCTGAAAATAATAAACCCTTTATTGTTACGTTTTTTGTTGAAAACATCACTTTTTATTTCGCGAAACAAATCAATTTTTATAGTTAAGAAAATTAGAACAAACTTATATAACTCTTGTCGATAGTTGTAAAGTTCATCAGCTCTTAAAGAAATGGTGGCTTCATTGCTATTTTTATCTATATTTGACACAGAATACTTGTTTGTTTGTTTTTCAGCGAAATAACTAAAAAACTATATACCAGTTAAATATGAAAATTTGTGGAACGAATGGCCATAACCAAAGTCAAAGATAAATCAATCAAATTTTGTTGAATGTGCACGAAAATTGAACGAGAAATGTACCAACGTTCGTCTTGCGTTTCAAGGCTTCGTAAAAAACCAAAATCACAACATTTGCATGATACAGGACTTTCTGTTGATATTTCAAGACAAGACAGAATTTGATAAAAGTTTATTGTATTTTATATAATTATTTACAAACTATTCATTTCATTAAGACGTTATTGAGTAATTCAAATTCTTCATAATATTATAAAAGCGAACTTGTTGTCTAACTATATCGATTCAATATTTATCCATCATCTAAAAAGCTACAAGTTTCCATTTCCACAAAATAATCAATTTGCTTATATGCATGCAATCTTTATATAATATATACACTTAAAATCCTTCATAAAAATGTTATATGGTCAAAGTCAAATATTATCTCAAAGAACACTTTTACATTGTTCACACAATAACAGCAGTGTGAAGCCATCTTGCTCGAGACATTTCTGGAAGTTCTTGCCAAGAATAACTTTCAAAGCTGAAAGCTTCAACTGACTTTAGGTGATGTCGTTGTTCATCTCTCCCTCCCAGTACTACAATGTTGTTTCCAATAACAACTGCAGTACATCCATATCTCTTACATCTCATTGCTGGTAACGAATGGCATTGTTCTGTCCTGAGATTGTAAATGATAACTGTATCTAATGCTTTGCCACGTTCGTCAGCGCCGCCTATAACAACGATGTTGTCTCCCCATCTCACAGTTGCCATCATACTCACTTTATACGGCAGTGGTGCCAACTGTTTACATTCATTCTTCTTTATATCATACAGTACCACACTGCTGAGGCTGGCTTCGTATCTGACAGTTGTTCTTCCACCAACGATCAACAAGTTATCATCAAATAATTGAATGCTGGGGCCTCGTCTTGGTTCTGGCATCCTTGATAAGATCTTCACAGTATACGAAGGAACCAGCTGGACTTCATAAATACAATCAGATGCTGCATTTTCATTAACACCACCAGTGACTATCAAACGATCATTATACAGCACATTGCTGTGGTGTGCCAACTTAGCGGGTAGTTTAACAGGACACTCACTCCAGTGCATTGAGAGATCAGGGTTTGGGTTGATATTCATTCTAATCATATCATTGACAAAGCCAGAACAGACACCTCCAGCAATTGTCACATGATTGTTGTGAACAAATGAAGTCGCTCCTCCTCGGCTCTTTGGCAAGGATTGTAATGGCGACCATGTTCTTTGACGCCAGTTAAACATCTCTACAGAGTCAGTTCCCATACCTCCAGCAACAATTATATTTTCCTTATCACCACTTGCTGTATTTCTTACTTTTCTTGTGTTTTCTTCTATCTTGTCCTCCATCTTGACAAGAACATCCTTTATTTCATCAAAACCTTCAACCAAAGCTGTTTTCAATCCTCTCACTTCATTATTTACTCCTTCGAATTTTCCTTCCATATCTGTTTTCATGTCGGCCATATTCTTCTCAACATTCGCTATTCTTGCCTCAGTAGTCGCCATTCGTTTCTCGATATCTGCCAAACTCTTTGTCATTTCTCCGCACGAGTGGCACTTCAACTTTCGAAATTCACATAGTTCACTTTGATGGTGAATAAGATCACGCTGGTTTAAAGTTACACCACAGCCTTGGTTTGTACAAACGGCTGGTGTAAATCCACATGTAGCCTCATGGTTGTCAAGATGTTGTAATTGTAGGATCTCTTGACAACCTCTGTCGATGTAAATGCAATGAATATTTAATTCATTTAGATAATCTTTTACCATTCTTTGTGGTTCGGCCAAAGTCTCTACGGTCAGTTCGTCCGCACACGTAGGGCATCTTCGAGAATTCTCAAGGTGTTTCGTAATACAAGATCGACAGAAACAATGATGGTTTCTCGGACACAGGACGGGCTCTCTTAAAACGTTGAAGCAAATCAAACAGAGGAAATTTCGATTGACTGTGGTCGCAAACCTTTCCTCATCATAGCCTTGTATGTACGACGCCATATTTCACGCCATTCTTGTTTCGTCAAATAACAAAGCAAGTTCTGTGTTGGTGTTAGTCGCTCTGTAGTATAAACCTCGCTATATAGACTGAATATAGATACAGTGTTCGTTCTTCGAGAAAGTCTGTGTTAGTATTTGCTTGAAATCTTTAACAAAATGATCTGTTTCGAGCAGCAAGATAAATATCGCTTCCGCATAAAGTGTTTAAAGCGTCTGTATAAGACAGGAATTTGAAATAGAATATTTAATATCTTGTGACCAAAGGTCATCACCTGATATCAATACTGGTTTGCAATTGGTTACATTATGTTGACAAGAATTTCGTGTTTCAAAATATGGAAATCAGTTCCCAGAAAATGACCTTCTATACCAAGAAAAATCGATCATAATAATGTATATAGACTGAGCTAATGGTATTATGATCGATGTGGAAGTCTGCATTACAATTTGCTTCAAATCATTCACAGAATTATGTCATTGGGGCGACATCTGTAAAAGTATGTCAAGCGTCTTTTGCAGACTGGTATTTGATTATACGAGATAGAATATTTAATGTACCGCGATGGGTGGTCATCACCTCATATTAATACTGGCTTGCAATTGGTAACATTATGTTGACAAAAAATTTGTGTTTCAAAATATGGAAATTAGTTCCCAGAAAAATGATCTTTTATACCAAGAAAAATATGATTGTTTTAGAAACTATTCACGGCATTTTTAAATTAAAGACGATTGACAAAATACCAACGAAACATAAATACAGTGATAATACAATATTTAAAAGGTTTCAGGGTACTGGCAGTACAAAACATATATATATTTGGAAATTTGAGCTTGTGCGTATATGGTCCCTGCTTTCGGCCTAGTACTCAGGCCCAAATTAGGAACGAGGATGAGAGAGCATGAGAGTTTGCAGTCACGCGAGCTTGGTTAGCTGTTCTTAATGTTTTCCCAACACTATCATGTATTCTATTTAAGTTAAAACATAGTTGGAACACTGATCAAACCTTTATTTTGTCAATCTAGAGCTTGAAATGCCCCTGTAGCAATGCATGACAACTCTTATCAACTCTCATTCTCGTCGGGGGCTTTATTTTATACAACAAAATAACGCTACGAGAAGAGGTTGGTTGTAATGTATGTTTGCAATGAAACGTTAAAAGAGAATCGTTAACTATAAATACAAAAACAAACCTCTTTCTCGATTTTCATGGAAGGTATTCCATACATAAGTAATCCACCACATCTGTCATTCTTTTCATAAACTGTGACGACATGACCTGCCTTTAGAAGAATAAAACAAATGTTGAAGAAAAAAGCCTCGAATAAAATAGTCAATGCATGTAAATATAAACACTGAAGACAAGTACAACTTCTACCGCTAATTGAACTGAGGTTGTCAAAATTAAAAATCGCCAAAACCTCCGTCGCGCAAACACTCAAATGGACGTGTGTGAAACTTGGTATGTATAGCAGCATGGAACTTGTCTTTTGCAAAATGTTGCAAGCAAATACAGTACAATCATAACGAAGACAGAAAACTACATCTATTGTGTGCAACGCAAATGCGCTTTAGATCAAGTATTACGCTTACTTAATTTACCTATAGCCTGGACTATTTTAATCTTACAACAATTGTGATATTATACTTTCTTAACTGTGTTTATCCTAACCTACTCTGTCAACTTTCCCTGTGGGAGAAAACCCACGACTTTCGGCAGAGCGTTGGCTGACTCTCTTCACATGAGTCCGTAGCGAGAATCCCACGATCTGGTTCAATAAATTTTCGCATGAAAGTGTTTGATCTGAGTATTATGTTGCCAACATTCCTACCTTATTAAGCTGAGCAGCGGCAGCAAGACCAGCTGGACCACTTCCAATAATTGCAACAGTTTTGTTCGTTCTCATTTGAGGAGGCTAAAGAGAAAATAGATTTAATATAATATTTAGTTATTAACCAAATGTTATAATAGCTAGAACATGATATTTAGTTATAATAGCTAGAATATGATATTTAGTTCAAAATAGTGCTGAATAAAATATACGCAAATATTTGACTATTACACTCTAAAAATACTCTTTCTTAACCTAAATATAACCTAAATTTGTTATCCTATTTGAGTTAACTTAATATTCCTGGTTCCTACATACATTTGAGATTTCAGTTTTATTAGTATATTTACCTGTGGTTTCATCCAACCTTTTTCAAAAGCCACATCAATGATTTTACATTCAATACTTTTGATAGTGACAGGTTGAGAGTTGATACTCAATACACAAGCACCCTAGCGTAATAAATAAACAGTTATGTGAGTCAACAATTGATACTTGTGAAAAATAATTCATAAACATAATATTCTAGTACAATTCTAAGTATCTTCACAACATTGATTTCTGATACTTGACTATAACAAATACCTATACAGGAAATATTTTAAAACTATTTCTACATGCAGTTTAACTTGCGGTCTCAAGATGAAATTTTTACCTCGCATGGTGCTGGGCAAACTCTTCCTGTGAATTCTGGAAAGTTGTTGGTTTGTAACAATCTGTCCAATGCGTCTTGCCATTGACCCTGCCGACAAGAGAATCACATGGTGAGTTGTGTGTATTTGGGAGACAATATATAAGATCGTGTGTTTCCATATGTTCACACGAGATCAGATGAATTTGATCAGACAGTTTCATGTCATGTACCTCGTGTACCACAAAGTGAAATTATGAAAATCAGTTATATTCCATGCTTATGTATCCAAGCACAAGCCTGCTTTGAACACTCTAATTTTTTCAAAGTGAACGTCGCGTATCGGCAACGTCGACAGTGACATACCTTGCGGCTGACCGTCGCCGTCGATCAAGTTTTTGAGTCGAAATACTCAGCGAGTTTTGCAAAGTGCTTACTGATTATTTTAAACCAGCGCCAGATTAATACAAATTCATTTGGCATAGAGCAGGGATTGATTGAGAATGTAGTCAACGGTTCTAAAGCTGGTCATAATCTGTTGCTTTGTAACGTCCAATGAAAGGGTTCAAGTGCTATACGTACTATTTCAAATCCTGAATGAAGACTGCACTATATTTCAAGTCTGGGCAATTTGATCAAGAAGAAGCCGATGACTGGATCAAAATGCGAGGACTTGAAATCTAGTCCAGTCTGTATTGGAGGATTTGAAATGACATCTCATACGAATAAATAAAAGTGAGATGAATTAATCCAGTCCTATACTTCATCAGGTATCCAGTATTATCATGTGAGCAAAATAAAGCAATATGGTTGGATAATTTACTCATGAATTATTAATGCATTTCAGATATATTCTTCCAACTTACATTAAAAACAAGATCGTTCCACTTGGGTATAACGTTACCAAGAGGACAGCCAGTTTTTGATTGACAGAACGGGACACCACAATCCATACATCTGAAATGTTCAAACAATTATTCTTTAGTATGTATTGCATGGGGTTTCATCTCTGTGACCAAGCTTCCATTCCTGGTATATGTTGCCTGATTACAATTTACCCTCAAGTCACGTGTGAGAAGAGTGCTTTCAGATTGACATGCCAAACACCACAGGTAGTGTAGTAACAATGAATCAATAAGAGATGATCCTTACTGGACGAAAATGACCTTTCATGCAAAACAATTTGGTACATCACGTAGTATAATGATCATAACAGAGGACGCTGACCTTGCAGTTTGCACTTTCAGTTCTTTCTCTTTAGGATGATTGTATATCTCGTTCCAGTCCTTGACTCGTTTCTTGGCAGGTCTGTAAGCGTTAACACGTCTCTTGTATCTCACAAAACCTCTGAAAGGAATTACAAGTAAAATAAGGTTTGAATAAGAAAACAACTTGTCGCATAGAAAACTGAACGAATGCTTGCGAGTTCACTCTAGCGTTGAAGAGACGTTTTAAATGTTGTTTTTATCACGCACACTTTTAAACTTCACAAGCGCGACATTTGAACAACGCCGAACACAACCATACACAACTTTAGAAAGGCCTCTCGACTTACTTTTGTTTATCAATGTTTTTATCTTCAATCTCATTCGGAACACTTTCTTCAATATCAGTAATTTCATTCACAGAATCTTTTCTTGATGGAATTTCTTCTATTGCTTCCGTCTCACCATTTTGTTGTACAACATTTTCACCCTAAAACGATATTTACTTTTCTTTGTATTGCTTCATAAATAAATATGTTCATGTTTATGCAAACTTATCCATGGTGAACACAATGAAACAGTTCAATACTTTTATATTTTAAAATATTTCAGTCTTAGTGACATGTTTTGATTCAACAGCAATTTTATCTCGAATTATATCTTCTACTAACCGATTTTTCTTCATCTTCTTGATGCTGTAATGCCAGTTTATATTCACGAGGAATAACCTTTCAAGGACAAACACGATATGTTAATGAGCCCAAACCCTTTGGGGCTGTCAATTTCCCGTTTGTAATTTAAAATGACTGAAAATTGCAAACTTCGCAAGGCTATATTATCCGCATTTTACAGCATTTCGCAACGAAACTTTGGAATATTACTAATTTTGTGATGCTCTTTCAAGCTGTCTAGACTTGTTTAGATCAAAATTTAGTCTATTACGCAAATGGTCAATTCAGGCTTTAAATTTCGGCTTTAATGCGTCATGTGTCCACAGCGAGAATCGAACCTACGATCTCAGACGTGAATGTCGTCTGCTGTGACAAATTGCGCGACCAAGCCTCCCAGCTTACAAATTAGGTAGTATCCCATATATTTTCACACCTTTATAAAGTATTGAACAGCCTCACTCCAGTTCTCTAGCAAGGTCTTCGCCACAGTAGACTGAGTATAATGAAAATGATCCTGAATGATGTGTTTCAGCGTGATATAGTCTTGATCTTGTAGTGGGTCTAGATCGACTTTCTGTGTGTTACAGAGACTGGGGAAACGACTGGACCTAAATGATTGAAAATATTTCAGTGAATTACAGCGGGAATGTTACATCTCAACATTTAGTTATTTTACAAATCGTAAGCATGTATTAGGCCAGAGCCTAGAGCCCACACGAACAGAGTGTTAAAGAAACTTAGCCATTTTTACCTGTCATAAATATACGCAATGCCACCAGACATTCCCGCAGCAAAATTCCGTCCAGTTGCCCCTAATATAACGACAGTCCCTCCCGTCATGTATTCACAACCATGGTCACCACACCCCTGGAAATGTAAATACAATTCTCGGAAATGTTACCTCAAATAGTGTCTCTGCCAAAGAACTTCCAAACCAACATTTTATATTTCTATTTTTCATCGAATAACAAGTGCATGTACATGATTAGTTCCGTTTGGAGTAAGTTTTGATGGTACCGCGCGAATAGGGGGATTCAAGGTTTCCGACGCCAGAACGTAACACAATAGTGCAAGGGTGCAATCACAATGGAATTCCCTATAGGTAAATTTGCAGGGGATGCAAACACAATGGTGGAAACAATAGATTCAAGATGGCATCGGAAACCTTGAACCCGCCTATTCAGAATTACAATTTATATGCAAGAATCAAGAATATCTGGTCCGAATTTACAGCGAAGATTTCCTATCAAATAAAATACGACAAATTATAAATTTGAATTGGCTTTTTCATAATGAAATTGGTAGCGTTGTAAGTTATGAAAATAAACAATAAGATCTCAATGAGATGCCCGCTGGTATTGTTTAACCCATTGAGTGTCAGGGCTCTCCCTTGAAGAGTAAAATCGTCTGGCATTAAACAGAGTAAAGTAGTACAGTAAGGCGCACAGGGCCGCAATGCAACTTCGTAGTTTAAACTTACCTCACACACAGCGACTGCGCCTGAATTACGAACACAAAACCGTTCAGCGGTCACTCCACGGAAGTAAGCCTAAAATAGAAACAAAATTGGAAAACACAACGCTAATTCATTTTTAAATGATTTCGATGCAAAAGCCTATATGGATATTTCATCAACATGACATCAAGACGTTTCCAAACATCACACATTACACGCAGGTCTGAAATTACTGAGTTATAGTTGATAGAAACTTAATTCAAACCTTCCCAGACGTGGCGCCATATAGACAGACATTACCAGCGATGATATTTTCCTCGGCTTTAAAACTTTCTGGTAAATTCTCGCTCGGGAACAAGATGATCTTACCCCCGGAAAGACCCTGACAATCAGAGAACAAGTTTGAAATCAATTAATGAAGAAAAATACAAAACATCTACAAATGGCCATCAACATTATATAAATTATCATGGACATTTGGGTTAATTGAAACCTCACTTTGTACAAGGTATCATCAATATACCTTTCCAACATAATCATTGGCGTCTCCTTCCAATTCCAAAGTAATACCACGACAAATAAACGCTCCAAAACTTTGACCTGAAGTTCATATGAAATTTATTACAATACGTACACACTTTATCAAAGCAAAGATATTGATAATTCCACATACTGTAGTTTTTACTTTCAAAACCATGCCACAACAGCCTGTTTCATACAAAAGGATCCTTCTTATATGAAACAAGATGTTGTGACAACATTTTTGAGGTAAAAACTACAAATTTGCTATGATAATTCCACATACTGTTTATACTACATTCTGACGAGAGAAATAATGAAATATGATACAAAGTTTTCCATGAATTCTAACGATACAGCGTCATTATCAAGGCAATTTGAAATGGACACGACTGACATACCGGCAGATCCCTTCAGTTTGACAAACACGGTGTCTTCAGGCAATCCAGCATCAAGCAGTTTTCTAGGAAATTGATAAATCACAGTAATTTTTCAAATACTAAAAGCCAAGCCTCTCCCGCTCAAAAACATTCCGTACACAAACTCGTGCTGTTCCATTTGTACGGGAATTCGCATGGAAATGTCTGGTTTCTGGCATTCTGCCAACTCAAAAAGAAAGATCACCCAGTTGTTTAATTCAATTATATTCAGAACGGCAAAAACATCATAAACTTTAGTAAAATCATCAAGTGGAATAGATTAGTAAAATCATAAAGTAGAATAGATTGGAGAGCACTGCTATTAAAACGTCAACAAGACATATGGGCAGATAGTTTAGTTTTATCCATGAATGCTCAAGAATCTTACCTTGACGATAAAAAGCGTCCGCCGTTAGAGTTAAATAACAAAGAAGAGAGCATTGCACGTCAATGGGTCAATATTTGAAATGTGTATTTTTAAAATGTTATTGTGTGTAGTGTTTAATGAAGCAAGTCATTCCTACCTGGAGATGTGATAACTTGTTGTGGTCCCAAAACTTCGATCTTCGTTGCCAATTTTCAGTTCCATCAAAACATTCTTCCTCTTTCCTTCTAACACTTCTTTAACAGCATCCACAAGTTCGTTCTCCTGGAAGACGAGCAGGAAATGTCTTTATGTTGGAGAATGGTATAAAATAGTTTGTGGTGAGATATGAATAGTGTGGTATAGTATGGTATGGCATCGTATGGTATGGTATGGTATGATATGGCATGGTATAGTATGGTATGGCATGGTAAGGTATGGTATGGTATTGTATGGTATGGTATGGCATGGTATTGTATGGCATGGCATGGTATGGTATAGTATCGTATTGTATGGTATGGTATGGTATAGTATGGTATTGTATGGAATGGCATGGTATGGCATGGTATAGTATGGTATGGTATAGTATGGTATAGTATGGTATTGTATGGTATGGTATGGTATGGTACGGGATGTGTGTTGATTATAAAATGTTGTAATCCTACCATTCTGTCTTCTAAACCAAACTCCTGTTCTTCAGTACCACCATAATGTTCACCATCGTTTAAAGAACGAGCTGGTACGAGAATCTTGCCAAAATCAAGAAGCTGTAAAGACGGCATGTAACATTACAAAATGCTCCATAATCTAGGAATCCATTTCTTCTACTTGGTGTATTTCCATACCTTGGTCTTTTCATTCAAAGGAATGTCACACTGTCTGATGCACTGTGTCTGACCAATCATTTCTTTCACTGTTTTGAAACCTAGCTGAGCCATGTAGTCACGAACCTAAAATAACATTGAAATCTCTGTCATGGACAAGCAAACAACCCAAATGACAAACTAACAAAATAAGGCAAACACAAAAAAACAACAAGGAAGAGAAATAAAGAGAAAAATAAACAACAAAACAAACGGACAAACAATCAAAATTAGCAAACAAGCAGACAAACAAAAAGACAAGCAACATACAAAGAATAAACAAAAAACAAACAAACGGGTAAACAAGAGAAGTAAGTAGTCAAACAAGCTGTTTGATACAAACCTCTTCTGCAATCATGAAGAAATAGTTGATGACATATTCAGGTTTTCCATCAAACTTCTTTCTCAGAATAGGATCTTGTGTTGCTATGCCAACAGGACACGTATTGAGATGACATTTTCTCATCATAGTACATCCAAGACTGATCAAAGGCGCCGTTGAAAAACCAAACTCATCTGCTCCCAGCAACGCAGCAATCACCACATCGCGACCTCAAATATATCAAACGTTAAGAACATCAATATACCTGGGTTTCACTAAACACTATCGTGCAACAGATGATAGTCAACCTGCAGTTATCAGAGTGAGAAAATGTTCTTTTCATTGCATAGGGTGTGCATCCGAGTCTAGCCCTACCTGTCCTCAACTGTCCATCAGTTTGTAAAATCACCCTCCGTCGTAAATTATTCAATACCAAAGTCTGATGAGTTTCACTGAGACCCAGTTCCCATGGCAATCCCGCATGTTTAATACCAGTCCATGAGCTAGCACCAGTCCCCCCGTCGTGTCCAGATATCACGATATGTTCTGCATGGCCCTGTAAGAGTGGATATATTTATTTTATTCATTACTTACACTCTACTTTGAATTATTAATATTATAACTATTACTAATATCACTAACATGTACAATATTAGATAGATAGATAGATAAACTTTATTTAAACACGCTGACCTCGTCAACCGAAGCTGATTTCCACGAGGGGCGTGCGAAAAGTATACAGAAAAGAATTATAAAACTATTTACAAAATTATATAAGATATATAGTATTATATGAACTAACAAACTAAGGTAGTAATCTATATACAGATAATATTAACATCTATGTTAATTAGCTATCAGTCAATGTGAGTAGTGATTTTCTTTCGAAAGGAAGAAAAGGATTTGCTCTCTCTTATTTCTTTAGGAATAGAATTCCAAACGTGTGCTCCGTCATACACGAAACTTTTTTTCATATTATTAGTACGCGGTTGTGGTAAACAAAGACTACTTGAAATGTTCCGAAGTTTGTAGTTTGTCACCTCACCCTTATATGTGAAGAGATTACTGAGTGATTTCGGTCCCATTTTGTTCAATAATTTGTACATGATTTTTGCTTTACTTTTCTTCCTTTCTGTTTTAAGTGGCTTCCAACCCAATGCTTGCAATGCAACAGAGTGATCTATGTCATTGCTCATATTCAAAATAATCCGAGCAGCTCTGTTTTGTAGTTTTTGGAGTCTTTTTGATTGCGTTTCTCCAAACACATCCCATACTTCACAGCAGTAATCGAAATATGGGCGAACAATAGCATTATATACAGAAAGAAGTGTTTGCTTATCAGCAAATTCTTTTAAACGTCTAAGAGCCGATATTCCAGATGTAATTTTCTTGCAAATATTCTCAGTGTTAGTTTTCCAAGATAAATGCTGGTCAATTGTCACTCCAAGAGTTTTGGATTCATAAACTTGTTTAATTGACTCGTTTTCAATTTTCACGTTTAGTTGCAAATTTGAAATATTTTTTATCATTTGTTTTGAACCAATTAACATAAACTCAGTCTTAGCAACATTTAGACTAAGTTTATTGGCAATTAGCCATTTCCTAAGTTTTTCCAAATCAGAATTCACTGCAGTTTCAAGATCAGTAATAGAGTTTCCAGAAACTGTCAGGTTCGTATCGTCAGCAAACAACCGAGGTTTTGTTTTATCCAGGCATTGAGGCAAATCGTTAATGTATAACAGAAAAAATAGGGGCCCTAAAATAGAGCCTTGTGGTACGCCACATTTGATCAATTTCTCTGATGAAACAGATCCTTGTATTTGGCATTTTTGGTTTCTATTTGAGAGATATGATTCTAGAAAAGACAGAGCTTGTCCTTTTATTCCGTAAAGCTCTAATTTTTTCAATAATATTTGATGGTCGACAGTATCAAATGCTTTTTTTAAGTCAATTAAGACTACCAGGTTAAACATTTTGCGGTCTAAATTCATATACCAATCATTTGTACAGTCAAGTAATGCTGTAGTTGTAGAGTGAAATTTACGAAAACCGAATTGACAGTCACTCAGAAGTTCAAATTTGGTTAAATAATTGTATAGCTGATCGTACAGAATTCGTTCCATAATTTTGCTAATGACAGGCAGAACTGAAATTGGTCTGTAATTTCCTGGCAGGTTTCGTTGGCCATTTTTATAGAGAGGTATTACTCTAGCCGTTTTCCATTCGTGAGGGAAAATGGATAGGATAATAGCTTGATTGAAAATATATGTGAGTGAATCTGAAATAGCAGGTGCAGCTATTTTAATAATTTTACTGGAGATCTTATCAACGCCAGTGGCTTTGTTGCTAGAAAGACCATGTAAAAGATGGTAGACATTGCTAACAGTGACTGGCTGGAATGCACTGAATTCTGATTTAGTCTTTTCAATATATGTTTGAAAGTTCAAATTTGGAGTATCAATTTTGCTAGCTAGATCAGGGCCAATATTTGAAAAATAATTATTAAAGCCCTCTGCAATATCTTTGGTATTTGTCAAACTATTTTCACCTAATTTTAACTCATTTACTACTGTTGGTTTGCTTTGCCTACCTAGTATATCGTTTATAGTTTTCCAAGCCTCTTTAGGGTTGCATTTTTGATCAGAAATTTTAGTGGAGTAATATTTTTTTTAGCATTTCTTAGCTGAATATTAACTTTGTTTCTCGTTGTTTTGTAATTTAACCAGTCTATCTCTAGGTTTGTAATAATGGCCTTTCTTTTTAATCTGTCCCTTGTGATTATAAGTTGCTTTATAGCACTTGTAATCCAAGGAACTTTTTTTGTTCTAATCGTTTTATGTTGAAGTGGTGCATGGTTATCCAAGACCTCTAAAAATAATTTCTTCCAAATTTCCCACATAGCATTGGGATTTTCAGCGAAGAAGTATACATTTTCCCAGGGTTGTTGCCTCAGATCCTCAACAAATTTTTGATGATCAAATTTTTTCATATTTCTTATCTCAACTTTCTTCTCTTGTTTTTTAACAACAGAAATTTTCCTTATTGCAAATACCAAACTATGGTCACTTAATCCAGTATGGATAACACCAGAGTCAGAAATTTTCTCTGGTGGATTGGTGACTATATGATCAATAAGACTAGAGGTTGTCATAGTTACTCTGGTAGCTTCATCAATCAATTGTAACAGTTGATACAACTCATACAATGTTTTGATTTTCTTTGTTGGAGAATTCGAATCTTTGTCTGTTTTAAGCATATCACAGTTTAGATCACCTAGAATATACATTTCTTTATTTTCATCATCAATGGCTTTAATTAATTTTTCAAAATGATCAAAGAATTCAGATGATGCATTGGGTGGTCTATAAATGGTTGTAACAAGAAATGGTCGACTGTGTGGCTTAATAATTTCTACACAGACAGCCTCCAATTCAGAGGGAATTAGATCTTGTCTTATAATATAGTTGATGGAGCTACGCAAGTAAATACAAACTCCACCTCCATTTCTTGATCTGTCTTTTCTAATAATATCATAATCATTAAGGTGAATCATACCATTAGTTATACTTGAGTCAAGACGAGTCTCATTGAAAGCAATAAGATCAATGAATTTGTTTGACATTGAATACCTTATTTCATCAATATTTTTTGGCAAACTAACAATGTTAAGAAAAGCCATTTTAAAACCTCTTTCATTGGGAATGGAATTAAGGCTAGTGAAAAAATCGCTACTCACATTGTTTACGGAAAAAGGACTATCTAATTCTTCATTATTTGATTCACATATTTCAATAGTACCAGCAAAAGTTCTCAGGAAAACAAAACTACAAACAAAGGAAGGTAAAACCATAATTTCATGGCATACCTTAGCTACACCAGCTGCGATGACTCCCACGCCAACCTCAGACACAAGTTTCACACTGATCCTTGACTTTGGATTGGAACATTTCAAATTGAAGATCAACTGAAACAACAAATAACCCTGTTTCATCATTTTGTTTCACTACATAATTTCCTAGATACCTCCTGGGATTAAATGAAGCCAAATTACCACATGCTGAAGATAATAGTAATAAATATCCGGTAACGAAGCACAGCTAGTGTAGAAGGGTCAGTTTGCGGGACATCCCAACCCGTCACCATTCCCTGTGGGAGAAAACTGGAGTATCAGCTCATGGCTATAAAGTATATCAGTCAAATTATAGCCACGGTTTTATTGCATTTGTTTCGAGAGCCTTACGGGTGCTGTCATCACGAGATATATGAACTATACTAGTTCATTGAAGATAGTTACATATTACCACGTCATTTGGTTACATTAATTTATTCAGTGGCTATAAAATACGCCTGTTTTCAGCATACGTCACCGTTCCCTTAAATCTTCATATGCACGAAATTTTATATTTGACTTACAAGTAAATTTTGATTTTTAGATTTCGCTGTCAAGAACGGAAATATATATTGTAG